ACCCCCTTTTGCCTTCAGAACTGCCTTAATTCTTCTTGGCATAGATTCGACAAGGTGTTGGAAACATTTCTCTGAGATTTTGGCCATATTGACATGAGTTACTGTTGCCTTTCTATCATGTTTAACCAGTCTGCCCATTCTCCTCTGACCTCTGGCATCAACAAGGCATTTTTGTCCATGCAACTACCGCTCACTGGATAGTTTCACTTTTTCGGACCATTCTCTGTAAACCCTAGAGATAGTTGTGTGAGAAAATCCCGGTAGATCAGCAGTTTTTGAAATATTCAAACCAGCCCATCTGACACCAACAACCATGCCACATTCAAAGTCACTTAAATCTTCTTTCTTCCCCATTCTGATGCTCGGTTTGAATTTCAGCAAGTCGTCTTCACCATGTCTAAATGCCTAAATGCATTGAGTTGCTGCCATGTGATTGGCTGATTAGCAATTTGTATTACCAAGCAATTGAACAGGTGTACGTAATAAAGTGGCCATTGAGTGTATATTATAAGTGGAACTAAAAACTGCCCATACTTACAGTACCTTTCCTTAAGCGATGTGATATCCATGATTCCCCTTGCTGGTGCCAACATCTTCCCCTGGTCTTCTCAAGGTTTTGAGTGTTCAGCCATTCTAATTGGCAAACCATGTGATTACATAACTACCATGTATGCACACTGCAGTTAATTTATTCCAGCACCATGGAATGCGGAGAAGTTACACAGAACTGCCAAAGTGTGGAAAGTAGGAAGGCAAGATGTCAGTCTTGATGAGGCATCAGTCCCCACCTGATGCTGGCTGCTGAGAGGGCATTTAGTTCCTCTACTATTAGTGCCTCTCACTTCAGTGGTTTGCTCTACTAGCCAGATGCTGCTTGCCATTTATCCTGACCCTGCTCCTGCTCCTGAATTTGCTTTTGCCTTTTACCTAAAGCCTGTATCCTGCTGCCTTATGCATACCCCCCTTGTTCCTGATCCCAGTCTTGGTTCCTACTTCCTGACTGATCCTTGCACCTCCAGTTTTACTGTTTTTCTGTGATCCCCATTTTGTATATATTGTATATAGTTTATTTGCTAGCTAAGCTTTCTGTTACTTAAGTTGCTAGTTAGGCATTTCATCATTTTATTTTTGTTCACTTATATTTTCTTGTTTGCTGTATATTCTGTTTGTTGGTGTTTGGATGGATTTTGGTTTTACTGTAAATAAATCTTACCCAAATCATGTATAGTCTGGTCTCAGTTTCTGAAGTCTAGCTATGCAGATCTGGCCATCCCTGCTGCCCAGCCCTGACAATGGGCATACTTAACCATTTCAATACTGTGCAATTTTACACCTTCCTGCCCAGGCCATTTTTCACGTTTCAGCGCTCTCACACTTTGAATGACAATTGCGCGGTCATACAACATTGTACCCAAACTAAAATTTTATCATTTTCTTCACACAACTAGAGCTTTCTTTTGGTGGTATTTAATCACCGCTGGGTTTTTATTTTTTGCTAAATTAACAAAAAAAAAGACCAAAAATGTTGAAAAAAAAACACGTTTTTCTTTGTTTCTGTAATAAAAGTTTACAAATAAATAATTGTTCTTCATAAATTTAGGCCGAGATGTATTCTGCTACATGTCTTTGGTGAAAATAACCCAAATTAGGATGTATTATTTAGTCTGTAGGAAAGTTATAGAGTTCACAAACTATGGTATAGATCTGAAAATTGATCAATCCTGAAGTACTGACAGCCAACCTAATTTCTTGAGGTCCAAGAATGTCAGAACAGTACAGATATCCCCAAATGACCCCTTTTTGCAGAGTAGACAGTCCGACGTACTTCAAAAGAGGCATGGCGAGTTTTTTTGAAGTTGTATTTTTTTTGTCATAATTTTTCGGAAAATTAAAAAATGTTATAAATTATTTTCGCTATTTTTTTTTTTTTTACATACTGTCACCAGTGCAGTACAGCGTCATCATATAACTGGTATGGCGGTGATCAGGGACACTGACTGGTGACAGTATGAAAAAAAAAATATATATTTTTTTTATTTTTTTTATTATTTTTAATTTCTTATTACATTTTTTTTATTTTTTTTTAAGATTTTTTTTCATATTTTACTATGACCAAAGTAGTACAATGTTACCATAGTAACACTGTACTACTTTGCAGAAGTGATCAGTATTTTTTTTTTTTTTTACACAATTTGCTCTTAGCAAAGAATTACTTTAGCGCTATAAGCAAGCGTTTACCTGAATGAAATCGATTCATTCAGGTTTTTTTTTTTTTTTTTTTTTGTGCTTAGCTGTGATTTGGTCACAGCTAATCACATGACATGTGCATGTGATTAGCTGTGACCATTCACAGCTAGGCAGTAGTATACAATGGATGGCATGAATGAAGCCATCCATTGTATACAACTGTCATGTGACCTGCTGTGATTGGTCACAGCAGGTCACATGGTACCAGCAATGGGGGCCGGTACACAGATCTGTCATCGGCCGTGTCCGAGGTACACGGCCGGTGACAGATCGCGCCGCTGTGCGGCTCTGCATTAGCGCAAACTGTGCATGTGCGGGTGCACGCCAAATGGCGTGCACCCGGAATGCCGAAGCACTTTTGAAGCCGCCAAACGGCCATTGGCCGGGTGGCTAATGGTTAAAATGTTACTAAACCCACAATAATAAAATCAGTCTGTATATGCAGTAAAGCATACTTGATCTACTCACTGTGGAACCTAATGGGCTAATTCTCTGCATTGTGTAAAAAGACTGTTTGATCCATTCTTCTCTGCCCATCCTCTTGTTGAAATGACCACCTAATACAGACTGAATCCGTAGTCACATGCACATGCTCAGTTTGGTGTGTATTGCTAGAGAGGTTTTTTTCTTTCTTGGGAGAGTGCATGTGATCAGCACAGGGCCAATCAGCACCAACCTTACAGAGGGCCAGGACTTTCACATCCTCCTAGAGCTTTAACCAGTGCTCTGCTGAAGTCACAAGACTGCTCTAACTTCTGATGAGAAAAGGTATTTAGCAGTTTATATTTACTAAAATAATAGCATTTCCATGTTCTGTGTAGTGTGGGAGAGCAGATATAGTGAATGCAGGCTCCTGGGTTTAGTAACACGTTAAGTGTACACCCTTGTGGGGGTCATGGTTGCCCGCACTCACACTGATGTCAAATTGCAGTCACTGCTCCAAATAGATATGAATGGGGCTGGCAGAACACATATGCATGGAACACCTGTGCATCTTGTATGTGCAAACACAGCCCTTATGCCGGTGCACTTTTAAGTACGCCCATGTGAATGAGGCCTTAACTAGACAGTTTCCCTAGAAAAATTCACTTCATACAGCTTATTCCATCTGTTGCATTAGTTAAACATTTATTTTGTCATATGTGTACAAGGAATGCAATGCTGCATTGCAGCTTCACATTTATGAGACTCGATTAGGAAATGTTCACTTTGAATATCATATTTTATACTTGTGGTGATTGGCTCTTTACTCAAGACCCCTCAGACAACGGAGTGACCCCCCCCCACTGCCAAGTGGGAATGACATAGTCGGCACTGAACCTCGGTAGAGATTCTCTTCTCACCTTTTTGAATATCATATTAACTGCAGAAGATTACCACTCTATAGCTACAGTGCGGTCGTCCAGTTCTGGGACAGTGTCATATGACGTCCTCCCAGAGTGCGCTCCCGCGTGCCCCCCAGCGGCGTGCATCCAGCGCTGTCTGAAATTGCTGTGTCCTTTGGACACAGCTGATCACATGACATGGTGAAAGGCCAATTACAGCGGACTTTTACCACGTGATCAGCTGTGTCCAATCACAGCCGATCACCATGTAGTACACACAATAGCAGCTGTCAAAATGTGAGGAAAGTAATGCCGCTAACCAGCAACTGTCAAAGGAGACATCTGCACTGATAATCAGGGCACTGATTATCAGTGCAGCCTCAAAAGTGCCCAACAGTGATGCCGATCAGTGCCCAACAGTGCTGCCCAGCAGTGCTGCCAATCTGTCTGTGCCGCCGTCAGTGCTGCCAGTTAGTGCCATCAGTCAGTGCCTTTCAGTGCTACCTATTAATGCCCATCATTGCCGAATATCAGTGCCCATCATTGCTGCCTATCAGTGCCCATCAGTGCCACATCATCAGTGCCTCCTCATCAATGCCCATCAACTCCACCTCAGCAGTGCCACCTTATCAGTGTACATCAATGCCCATCATTGCTGCCTATCATGCCCATCAGTGCTGCCTGTCAGTGCAGCCTCATCAATACACATCAGTGAAAGAGAAAAATTACCTTTAAAATAGAAATTTATAGTGCATAAAATAAAAAAAAAAAACCCAGTAATGATTAAATACCACCAAAAGAAAGCTCTATTTCTGTGAAAAGTGGATATAGATTTCATATGGGTACAGTGTTGCATGACCGCGCAATTGTTATTCAAAGTGCGACAGTGCTGAAAGCTGAAAATTGGCCTGGGCAGGAAGGGGGTAAAAGTGCCCGGTTGGCAAGTGGTTAATGTATATTTTTACCTGTGCTTAGAATTAAGCAGGTCTAGCTCTAGGTATTTTTCTTTCTTAAGCCTTTGGAGAATATAAAATATTGGAAGTGATCCACATAATAAATGGACATTGAGCTGTACAGAATGTTCACAGCCTGAGGATTTAAAGGGATAAACATTTGCCAGAAAACATTTATGTTTATACAGTTTTGTACACTTGCAATTTCTCTTTTTTTCTGCTCTTTAAATGAGATTTAAAAGTAACTTTTTTTGAAAGTAGCACAAACATTTCCAAATCCGGTTTAGTCCTGAGATATGTTCTTTTTGTTCCATTTATTAGTTTGCCTTAATTGTTAATTGCTTTTCCACCTCCTCCCCCCTGCTCTTCCACTTTTGGAAACGTTTATTTTTTGGGGGGGAGTGGGTAACTGCTTTTGATATTTACCCGCTTCACTTTTGCCCAGATCGCCTAGGTGATCAGAATGGTAGTTCACCCCAGGGGCGGACTGACAACTCATGGGGCTCCCGGGAAATAGGGGATCATGGGGCCCCTGTGTCCTTTCCCACACTCAAAAGCCTATAGAAAAGGTACCAGGGGCATTTCATGGGGCCCACTACTGACTCCGGTCCCTCGGGCAGTGCCCGAGAGCTCGAATGGTCAGTCCGCCCCTGGTTCACCCTCACTTTGCCAGCAGCCTTCTGTTGGACGGCACACACATGTGCAGTGGGAAGCCGGCTGTGAAGCCAAAAGGCTTCACAGCCAGTTTCCATGAGTAAACATGCTGGCACTGGGGTCCCAAAGACTGGGGAAGAACAGCTCTGGATCCCTGGACAGGTACTGTAAGTGTCCTGTTATTAAAAGTCAGCAGCTACAGTATTTGTAGCTGCTGAGTTTTAATTTTTTTTTTTTGAGGGAGACTGAAGATCCTTGCAGGCTGTGAATGTTTTGCCTAAATTTAGGCCAATTACATTCCAGCACTGGTGGGTACTACAAGAGGAAGGGTAAAAACATTGGGAGCACCTCACAGAACACCAACCAGCTGCTCTCAGCATCAGTTTTTTAATGGTGTACAGAATGCAGTTTAGGGATTGAGTTTGGGATTTGAGGTCATGTGCAACTTATCTTTGCAGTTGGTAGACTGGTGAAGATTGTTCATCATGGCACAAAAAGAGCTGAAAACGTAGGCAAGGTTTTTCAAAACCTTTCTCTGAAATAATGAAAAAAAACAGATAAGAAACATATTCTATCTCTACACCTGTCATAATCTATTTCTTATCTTCCTTCAAAAATCCTTATGTCTGAGGCTGTAAGGGCAAAGCTCCTCTATATCTTTAGCTTGCATCTTCCAGTTATAGAAAAACTGAATCTCAGTTGGAATTTATTGTAATAACTAGACAATGGAATTCTGGAAGCAAGTCACTAAGAAATGTTTTTTTTTTGTGTTCTAGGTATTCTGTAATTACATTAAAGCAGAAGTCACGACACCAGAATAAAGACATTGTTCAGTAGAAAAACCCCAAGTAAAATTAAAAGCTTTAGTAGTAATACATTGTAAAAGTGCTATAAACCTTCTTTTAAAACCTGTCCATGTAATTTGGGAATTTTGTTTCCTTTTTTTAAAGATGCAGTTCGCCAGAAAGGATGATTGCAAAGACTCTAGATCCGCTTTTTCTCAAACTGGGAACCCTAAGATTCCTCCAGAGGTTGCAAGTGGTTCTTTGGGGAGTAAGAAACTTCTGCCTCTCAGATGAGTAACCATTGACAGCAATGATATTTTCAGCTATCTGTAAGGAGGGATTCTTCCCAATTACCACAAATGTCAGAAGCATTATTCCCAATGACTATCACACTAATGTACTTTTAGCTGTAGATCTAGTAATTGTTAGCAGGGGTTCCCTGAGCATGGAAAGTAATTTCAAGGGTTCCCCATGTTAAAAAGATTGAAAAACACTACTCTAAATTGAAGAATCTGATGTAGTCCGCCAATGGATAGCTGTTCCCACCATGTTAATATTATTATACAGGATTTATATAGCGCCAACAGTTTGCTCAGCGCTTTACAATATAACGGGAGACAATACAGCAACAATACAGTTCAATACATGAGGGATAGGAGGGATGCTCCTTGGAGCTTACAATCTAGGAGACTCCAGACCTGCCTCTCTTCTTTTTGGAAGGTTCAGCACATGGCAGGGCAAGGCACATCGCAAAACAAACAAAAGATTTCCCAGCAACACTTATCAGCCAGCTTGCGAAACAACCAATTTGGCCCTGTCTAACAGTATGCGCTAAAAACAGAGGGTTTTGCTTGTACACATTTGCAAATAAATGCGTAAGCCACATTCCCACATCAAGGGCCCTCTGTATACTGTGGACCTAACTAAAATTTCCAAAATTTTTTGCTAGGTCCACTGTATACAGAGGGCCCTTGACATGGGACTGTGGCTTATGCATGTATTTGCAAATGTGTGCAAGCAAAACCCTCTGTTTTTAACGCATACTGTTAGACAGGGCCAAATTGGTTGTTTCGCAAGCTGGCTGGTAAGTGTTGCTGGGAAATCTTTTGTTTGTTTTGCGATGTGCATTGGCCTTCCATGTGCACCTTACTGCTAAGGCTGGTTATAGGTTGGGACTGTTGCCATTTTTTTTGCAGTTGGCTAAATTGGATGCAGGAACGCACTGGATGCCTTTGCTGTCATTTTGGTATAGCTGGGTGTCACGTGCGTCCTTGTACCTTTAAGGAGGGATGGGCTCCTCCAGGCACACCTGCCCTTAACCTAACCATTTATACATGTACTCCTACAATGGAGGCTTTGGAAATTTTAGTTAGGTCCACAGTATACAGAGGACCCTTGACGTGGGACTGTGGCTTATGCATGTATTTGCAAATGTGTGCAAAAAAAACCCTCTGTTTTTAACGCATACTGTTCGACATGGCCATCTTGGTTGTTTCACAAGCTGGCTAGTAAATGTTGCTGGGAAATCTTTTGTTTGTTTTGCGGCATTCAAAATGTATGTTTTATTTATGGAGTGACATAATTTGCCTTTGCATCTTAGAACTCTTGGAAACTGCAGTTCTTTTTTAAGGATCCTGTTTTTTCCTTCCCCCACCTCATTACAAGGAGACAAAAGTCTAACTTCTCATACTGCATTGTGCATGATGTAATGTAAAAATCCTTCAGGTAGAATGAGACCCCTTCCTACTGTCCACAAGAGGTGGGAGGAGACGGGAATTCAGGAGCAGATCTTGTCATGGGAGCCCCCAAGATATTTAGCATGCTGGTATCCAATCTGGCACCTGACCTTTAATGTTAAATTATTTATCATGCGTGCTTTAGTAAATGCAACCAATATAGACTAATTATGATTATTTCTGTAAATAAAAGCTCTGTAATCTACTGTTTAGAAGGTAATTTATGATCTTCCCAAATGGATTCACCCACTAATTGAGACTTTCTGTTTAAAATGCCCTTTTAATTAGCCTCTTCTGGGCCCTGATTAGTTTCGCAGTCCCTGGTCACATTCATTTGCTGCTAACCTCCTAGCCTAAGGATGGTTGGTAACCAAATAAAAAATATGCGGTATGCCTGAGTAGGTTTAGATGCTAAACATATCATACTGTTTGCTGTAAGTGAGCTGATTTGTTGCCTAAGTAAAAAGGAAAACAAGCTGTAAAATGGTTTATAAATTTACCAATGACCTTTCTGCACAAAATTAGATCTATTTATAAAATGTTACTAGAGTCGTGAGCCATGTAGCATTCACACAAATGGCAATGCAATACTCTTTATACACAGTAAAATAAAGAATTGTACAGGAATGCAGATACATTTATTTTCTTACATTAGAGGAAAATGGCAATTGGTATGAATGCTGTACTGTGGTGGTTCAGATTATAAACATTGAACAAAAAAAACGAAACGCAGCCCATGCTCATTGTATAATAAAGTATTTACTGAGATTAAAAATCAGTTGATTTACATAAAAGTTGTAATGTTCATTTGCTGTTTCCCTTCCTGACTGGTTATAAATCATTCTATAGCAGATAAACTTTATGGCAAAAATTACTTGGACACTCCTCCAAATTACTAAATTCAGGTATTTCCAGCAAAAGGTACTGTTAATGCTAAAACATACAAATGCATTTTAGATAATTGTGTGCTTCCAAACTTGTGCAACAGTTTGGGGAAGGTCCTTTTCTGTACCAGCATTACTGTACCCCTGTGCACAACGCCGGCTCCATAAAGACATGGTTTGGTGGGTTTGGTGTAGAGGAACTTGAGTGGCCTGCAAAAAGCCCTGAACCCTTCTGAATACCCTTGGGATGAGTTGGTAAGCCAATAGCAAGCCAACTCTTCATGTCCAATGTCAATACTTGACCAAAGCCTTCCCAGAATAGTGGGTGTGGTCATAGTCAGTTGAGGCAGGGGAAGGATTTGCTTGGGGGCTACTCCATATAATTTCCCTTGGTTTTGAAATGAGATGTCCAACAAGCTCATATAGGTCCACAAATATAGGAATAAAGTGCAAAATAGACAGTATAGTAATCACAAGATTTATAACAGTTGACCTATCGCCAAGAAAGAAGCCCTACCTACTCCACTGACCACTGGGGTTAAATTCAGTCTTTGCGGTGTTGGGGTTCCCCAGTGGGGGAATGTTTAATCCATGGGGTAGGGAAAACACAGTCCCCTAATGGCAGAACTCCTCAGCAGCTAGGGCAGTGACAATTATAACACATATTTGTTGCTTATAGGTCTTTCACCACCCTGCCATTCTGATGAAGTTCAACTGGTTGCTGTGCAGTCTTTGATCACTCTCTTACCCAGGGTGGTAAGAAAGTAGGACAAAGTTTCAGCCCCTGGAAGGGTAAAGGCAATAGTGTACTGGAGCAAGTTACTCGATCAGTCCCATACAGTGACAAAGTCTCGGGTGAGCACAGATGCCAACTGACAAAAAAACAGCACACATGGCCTTGTGGCTCTTTAGCACAATCACTCCAGATGCGGGCTAGCAGCCACAAGGCTCTCATGCAGCAAAGTCCGTAAGTCCTGACTTACAGGAGTATGTGGTCCTGCAAGTCAGCTTACAGCACAGCAGTACCTCTCAAAGTGGCAAGTGGTCTAATGAAGTTTTCTCCCTAGAAGCAATCTCTCCAATAAGCTCTTGTACCCAGGCTCACAGCTGAGCATGGTAGACTCACAACATCAGCCCTTGAGAACTTTACTCCTGGGCTCCAGGCTGCTAATCCTGGGCACCCACACAGCCCAGCTCATGCACCCACATCCGATATCCCACGTGGGCTCTGGCTGCTCTCAAGTGCAGCTGTAAGTGGCAGGTCAGTTTGTTCCTCCAGCCACTGCGGAGCCCAATAGCAAGTTTTTCTGCCCTATTACTAAGGGTGAGAATCCTCTTCAGTTGAGCAGCAGACACTCATGGTTCTGGATCAATAAATGTCCTCCTGTGCCCTCATCTATCTATCTGCATTGTCCATCCCAGCACGGAGAGGAATAAAGAGAAAAAGCAGTCTGTGTAGGCCAAGGAGTAACAATCTGCTGAGTGGCTTAAAGGCCCATTGCAAACTTGGGCTACACATAAATAAATGGGTATAGAAATGTCAAAATGTTTAGGTTTTTGCAGAAACCAGTGCTGCATGCTCCTTCTGGTGCTGC